GCCGCTCCTCTCATGCGCAGCGTCTTCTTCAGAAGATTCCGGGTGTACCCGTCTCTAGTTGAAGTTATATGTGCTTTTTGCTTTGGATACTTAGCTGTCGTCATCATCAATCTGATAATCGGCTTCTTGGTACTTAATGACAAACACATTGTGGAATTACGAAACTCCGTATTATGGAAAAGTATGATAATGTACAGCAAAAGAGGCATCATGAGCAGAAATAACGTGGCATGCGTTATGACCAGCCGAAGAAAATTCATAAGCCACATCCACATTCTCACATCCAGCAATACACCAATTTGTGCACTCACCTATCAATTCATCCCTTCATCCATCAAAACATCAAACCATCCATCATTAACTAACCCCCCACCTTTTCATAAACTGTCAACTCATAAATCACACACACACACACACACACACACATATATATATATATATATATGTATGTATGTATGTGTATGTGTGTGTGTGTGTGTGTGTTTGAATAAAATAACGAAGGGAAAAATAAGAAAACACGAATATACCGAGGGCATATTTGTTCAACAGAGATAGATATACTTTGTTTACATTGGGGAATGCAAATTGTACACAAATTCTGATGATGACATAGCTTGCGCACTCACGCTTTAGGAAATATTCAGTATATCCACGAGTTGCTGCCTATAGGAAGATATCCGCTTGCAATGTGGACCTTCAAAACAATCAGTTCACGCGCTTAATCTTGATTCTTCGATTTTTTTTTTTTTTTACTTCCCTCAGTTTTCTTAAGTTTGTGTTTTAGTGATTTACTTTTCTGTGCCTGTAGACACTTTTTAGATTTTTTTGAATTTCCAATAACCGACGTTTATTTTACAAGGTATTACGGAAATATAAGCTAACAGAAAGTGATTAAACAAAATTAAGAATAATACCTATGGAAGATTTTTTATTGATTATCACACTAATACATAAAATGCGCGCGCGCACACACACACACACACAGACGTGTATGAATATACCAGACATACAAATGAATCTATACATACATGCATACATATATGTGTGTATATATGTATGTATATATATAAAACAAGTTTATAAAATGGGCAGAAAAAAATCACTATAGGCAAAGATTTCCTGACAGGAGAGACAACTGTTTCGAAACCCCCTGCATCACATCTTCAGGTCACCTGGCGAGAGATGAGTCTGCAGTTGAGAGTGAAGGGGCGGCGGAGAGAGGAGACTTCCTCAGCGTGGGACAGACTGAGGACTGGCGGGTGTTCGCAGCCTGTCTTGGGGCTAGACATTGTTTATTGAATGAAGTTATTTGTTCATAATGATAAGGATAATCAACACACACGTATGTGTGTGTACGTGTGTATATATGGATATATACATATATATGGATATATACATATATATATATATATATATATATATATATATATATATGTGTGTGTGTGTGTGTGTGTGTGTGTGTGTGTATATATATGTATGTATGTATATACGTGTGTGTATGTGTGTATGTGTGTGCGTGTGTGTGTGTGTGTATGTGTGTGTGTGTGTGTGTGTGAGGGATATTCAGTAAATGGCTGTATTAACCCTGTAATTGCACCAATAGCTGAGTTATGTCTTCCTATCGGCAAACAATGTTACTTTATAAAGTAAAACATGCAATGCTTCTATGATTGTCTAATTCTCATCAAACAATAAAACGCACCGAGCGTTCAATCTACAACCTTGTTCTGAATAGGAACCAAAGACCGATTCTGTAGGCCACATTCATCTATACAGATGACAGATAGAAAATAAGTACAGTAAAGGATAGTGATCCTTTTAAAAGGTGCACAAATCAAACTTTTCCCTATAAAGAACAGTGTATTATCATTGTCAATTTCTGACACCATTGAGTCTCTCATTCAGGGACTGCTCTGAAAGAAACAAAACTATATATGATCTTAAGCATTCTGTAGTACAGTTTATTTTTAATGTTTTATTCATTGATTCGATTGATGTCTGTATGTCTGTGTTTTCACGAAACACTCATATGGCGAACATTGTTACAGTTAACAAGGTTAAAGTGCGGAATGACAACCTCTTCCGCCTATTTGTCAAGTACAGATCGCCATGAACTCTGGCATTTCAGCTTATCTGAATCATCGAGGTATAGGAGAATTATATTGTAAAGTAAAATATTCTCAAAAAGAGGAAATCGTCAGATCACAGAAAACCACACTGATAATCGTACTAGCTTTCAGCTGTATCTCATAAATCAGTGTGTAACCACTTGGACAGGTTGTATAATGAGATCTTTAAAAACTATAACATACATTTAAGACATGTAACAAAAAATAAATTAGAAATCAGTCAAGAATCACACATTGTCATGCTTGGATTCCATGAGAAGTAGGTGATGGCATTAAAATGACAAGCACCAAGTCGCGCAGTTAAGTCTAGCTGGCATTAAAAGGGTTATGTTCATTTCATGTTGCTGTGCACGTACTTCACTAAAACATAA